ACCCGTTGATCAGCAGAAACTACATCTGCTGTCAAAGCAATATCGATAGAAGCTGGCCTTAACGCCTGAGCTACATCTTTCTGCTGATGGATGCCTCGAATCAATGCGTGAGCCTGAATTTGTTGCGGGGGTGGCGAGCCTGCTGAGTAACTAAAGTTTTTTATTGAATAAGGTGGCATTCTTCACTAGCCGCATGGTTATTGAGTCACTTACATGCCTTCTGTTGACCGAGTTACAGAATTTTTAAAATGAGTCAGTTCGATATTTCGTGAGAAAAACGGCATCTTTAGATATTTTCAATTTTTTGACGTCGAATTAAGTCAGATAATTTCAAGCAACGTCTCATTTAAAAGAGCAAAATGAGGTACTTCTTGACTTTCCAAAGTTGAAACTGATATCTTAAAAAGTGGATCACTTGGAATGACACAAATTTTAAATGAGAAATTTTTGGTGTAAAATTGAGTTTTCTCAATCCTTTTTAAAGATACTAAGAAAAAGATTATCGGCTCTTTTAGAACAGAAATTTGTCTACAAAATGAGCTATAAAACTTTGTAACACCACTTCAGCAACACAGAGAAAGATTGAGAATAAAATGACAGACTGAACCGGTTTTTAAGTCTAAAAACCAGCTTTTTGTAGTTTCTGGACCCTAAGCTCACTCTTTAAAGTAAAGTAAAACTGATATTCAGAATCAATATTAAAAACTGCATCGAACGATGTAACTGTCAAACTGATCGGGCAAAAAGCATTTTTCGTGTTTTTCGCAGTTTTTCGTCGACAACTTCGGTAAGTTGAAAAATGGTTACATAAAAATTTCTCTGGTAAACCTAAAACATTCCACATGATCCGCTTTTTAAAATTACAGTTTCGACTTCGAAAAGTCAAAAAGTACCTTTTTGCTCTTTCAACTGAAATGTTGCTCGAAACTATTTGACTTAAGTGAACAGCCCCCCGTGTTGTCTCGTGCCCTATCTATTTCACCTCACAAAACAATCCCAGTTCCGAATCCCTAAGATGCACCCAGGGCAGCCTTGCAGTGAAATTTATTTTTCGACACTTCATACACCATTCGATAGAGAATTTCGCGGTGATCACGAATATCACTTCCAAGGCTCTCAGAACCCTTTCCTCACTGA